ATGGTATTGTGATTGGCTTCTGCCAGTTCAAGTGATCCAAGAGAAAGCAAAATGAAAGACACACTGTCTTTTATGACCTAACATTGGGAGTCCAACTTTGTTATTTCCACAATATTTTCCACAGGTCAGCCCTTTTTAGTGTTGGAGTAGATATATCAGGGGTGTGAATACTGGGGCAAGACTCATAGGAGTCTATCTTGGAAGCTGGATACCACATAATTCTATGGTGTTTATGAGAGGCAACCTAAAATTAAGCACATGGAAATAGTTGAAGTTGGGATGGCTGTATTAATATCAGACAAAATGGACTTTTGAAAAAAATGTACTATTACAGATAGAGAATGAGATTAAACAATGATAAAAAGTTCAATTTATTAAGAAGATATGATTATCACTAACCTAACAAAATAATAAAATAGACCCAAGATATATAAAACAAAAAATTCATAGAACTCAGGGAGAGATTGGGGGCACCTGGTGGCTCAGTTGACTATGCTTCCGACTCTTGATCTCAGCTCAGGTGTTGATCTCAGGGTTGTGAGTTCAAGCCCCACATTGGACTCCATGCTGGGCATTAAGCCTACTTTAAAAAAATTGGTTTAGAACTCAGGAAGAGACTGACAAATTCACCATCATGGGGGAGATGACAACATACCTCTCTCTATTACTGTTAGATCAAAGAGACAGAAAAAAAGAAAAGAAAAGAAAAGAAAAGAAAAGAAAAGAAAAGAAAAGAAAAGAAAAGAAGAAATTTGAACAATAAAATTAATAAGTTTGATTGGACATATATAGAATTCTATACCCAACAACTAGAGAGGATACACTTAGAACATTTGTAAAAATTTACCAAGTACTAAACCACAAAACAGGTCTCAAAAAATTTCAAGGAATCAATATTAAGATGTTTCTCAGTATAACACAATTAATTGGAAGTAAATTTAAAAATCTAATTATTTTTTAATTTCCATATGCCTGGAAAAATTTAAGCATACTACTAACTCATGGGTCAGTAAGTCATGCTGTACCCCATGATAACTCATTTTTTAATTATTGTTATTAGTTTAATACAAAAGTTGCACTGGTTCATATGTTTAGGAGCAAGCTTTCTTACCATCAGACAAAAAGTCTTTAAAAATCTTTGTAAAAGCTGAAAATGTTTCATAACTGACATCCTTTCATGCAAATGGTTGCTGGTTTAGTGGCTTCAAGAATTGATATTTTTTCCACTATGTTAAGGTATCTAGAGAAGCTAAAAATGTGTATCAAGAAACAATGAAGACATAAATCTTATCCCAAGGTAGAAAAATATATATTAATATATTCAATAATATTCATAGTATTATAATATTTGATTATTAATATTTATAATATCAGTATTATTTAAACTATTGATAATATTTAAAATATGTTAGATCACATTTTTAGGTTTAATGAAACTAGTCACTATTAGAAATAAATGCCCTTGAAGACCGATTTCTCAGTGCAAGGCATAAATAAATCCCAGAGGTCAAGGCTATGAATATAATCACTTCTCTACAGAGAAGTGACTTACTATAGTACCAATAAAGAGATAGTGACCGAAGCTTAATCACATGGGGGACTATGAGGGAAGCTGGGAAATATCATCTTTAATTATGTTGCCAGGTGAAAGTTGGCATTCTGTTCAAGAAGGACCAAATAACTATTAGAGAATCACTGGCAGACTCTTCCATGAAGAAAATTATCCCTAATTCAGGACTATGAATCCAATATGACCTTAATGACAAAACCAAATATGAGAAATGAAAAGTGAGAAAAGAAAATCACTGGTCAGATTACTCATGAACGTAGAGTAAAAAGTAAATGTGAAAAGTCCTAAACAAAATATTAGCAACCGAGTCCAACAGTATGTAAAAAAGATAATATATTATGACCAAGTTTTATTTATTCCAGAAATTTAGGAGTGGTTTAGCATTAGAAAATCTATTATTATAGATTATGAAACACCACACTAGCAAATTAAAGGGTAAAAATATGAATGGCTGCACCAATTTACACTTCCACCAACAGGATACAAGTGTTTCCTATTCTTCACATTCTGGCCAACACCTGATATCTCTTATCTTTTTGGTAGTAAGCCATTCTAACAGATGTAAGGTGATATCTCATTGTGGTTTTGATTTGCGTTTCCCTGATGAATCATGACGTTGAACATCGTTTTATGTACCTATTTGCAATTTGTAGGTCTTCTTTGGAAAAATACCTATTCAGACATTTTGGTGGGAATGTAAACTGGTGGAAGGTTCCTCAAAAAAAGAAAAATAGAACTGACATATGGTCCAGCAATTCCACTTCTGGACAGTCCAGAGAAAATAAAAACACTGACTTGGAAAGATATATGCACTTTCATGTTCATTGCAGAATTATTTACAATAGCCAAGATATGGAAACAACCCAAGTGTCCATCAGTGAATAAATGGATAAAGAAAATGTTTATTTCAGGAATATTATTCAGCCCTTTAAAAATAAAATCATACCATTCGCAACAATATGGATGGATCTTGAGGGCATTAAGCTAAATGAAATAAGTCAGAGAACAACAAATAAATACTGTATGATCTCACTTATATGTGGAGTCTAAAAAAAATAGCTCAGAGAAAGCAAATTGGTGGTTACCAGAAGCAGGGAGTGTGTGGGGGGGGGCGGGGAGGGGGGGTGTCAAATGGGTGACAATGATCAAAAAGTACAAATTTCCAGTTATAATAAATCATGGGTATGTAATGTACAACATGGTGACTATAGTTAATAATACTACATTTCATATTTGAAAGTTGCCAAGAGCGTAAATCTTAGAAGTTCCTATCACAAGAAAAAAAACTGGGGCGCCTGGGTGACTCAGTTGGTTAAGCATCTGACTTCGGCTTAGGTCATGATCTCACAGTTTGTGAGTTCAAGCCCCGCATCAGGCTCTGTGCTGACATCTCAGAGCCTGGAGCCTGCTTCAGATTCTGTGTCTCTCTATCTCTCAGCCCCTCCCCTGCTCATGCTCTGTGTCTCTCAATAATAAATAAACATTAAAAAAAAAAAAAAGAAAAGAAATTTGTTAACTATGTATGGTGACTAATGTTAACTAGGCTTTTGGTGGTGATTATTTTGCAATTCATGTATATAACAAATCATTTATGTTGTACACCTGAAACTAATATAATGTCAATTATACCTCAATATAAAATAATTAATTAATTAATATTAGCATCTCATTTGATGCAGAAAAAGCATTTGGCAAATTTACTCAGCAAACTGGGAATAGAATAAAATACTTTAAGTTAACTAAGATTAATAAAAACCTCATCATTCTAACGCGAATGTATAAGAAACGTAAAATCATTCCCATTAAAATAACAAGATAGAATGCCCACTCTTACCATATCTGTTTAAACTACTTGGAAACCCTGGCCAATGCAACAAAACAAGGAAAATAAATTCAAGTCATAAAGAATGAAGTCTTTAAAGAAACAAGCTTATCATTAATCACATATAATTGTCTCAAAAATATCTACAAACAAAATAGTACAAATCAATAGAAATCTTTTGCAAGGCAACCAAATATAAGATCAATGTTTTAAAATCTACTTCATTTACATACACTAGCAAAAGAAAATACAATTGTAAAAAAAAAAAGAAACTTATTTAATGTAATTCAGGATTATAAGAACATAATAACAGATTGAATAAAAGATGTTCAATACATGTAGGGAAAAAAATAACAAAATATTATTAGAAGACATTAATTAAGACCTAAATAATTTGAGAGTTATGTTATGAATATTTAGATTCAATATCACAACAACATTAGTTCTCCCCAATTTATATGTAGACCAAATACAATGCCAATCAAAATCTCAACAAACTTTTTAAGGACTTCAACAAGCTGATCTATCTCTCAATTGATCAATCGATAGATGGATAGATAAGAGTGCTATTGGCCAAAAATAGACAATATACTCCTTAAGAATGGGATGGGAGGACTTACCCTACAAGATATCAAGACTTATTATAAATCTATTGCATTTTAGACTGAATGGTATTAGTGCAGGTTTAGACAAATTGATCAGAGGACTTGGATCAAGAGCCAAGAAACAGACCCACAGTTATACAGAAATTTTATATATGACAAAGTTGATATCATAGATCAATTGGGTAAAGTTGGACTGTTCAATAAATAATATTGGAATAATCAGTTATGCATATGAGAAAGAAAATGAAATTCGATCCCTAGCTTACACCATACTCAATAATCATTCACAGTGGATTAGGAGATTAAATATGAAAGGTGAGGGGTGCCTGGGTGGCTTAGTCAGAAAGTGTCTGACTTCAGCTCAGGTCATGATCTCTCTGTTCATGAGTTTGAGCCCCCACATCGGGCTCTGTGCTGACAGCTCGGAGCCTGTAGCCTGCTTCGGATTCTGTCTCCCTCTCTCTCTGCCCCTCCCCTGCTCATGCTGTTTCTCTCTTAGAAATAAATAAACATTAAAAAAAATTTTTTTAATATGAAAGGTGAAACTTTAAAATTTTGGGAAGAAAATATCTTTGTGATCACAGAGTAGATTTATTAAGCAAGTAAAAATACTAATCATAAGACAATTAATGTATTTAGCTACATTAAAATGTAAAATTTTTGTTTATCAAAAAACAAGATATAAGCTGGGAGAACATATCCATAAAACATATAACCAATATGGAACTATTTCCCAGAAAAAAAAAGACCTTCTACAAATCATTAAGATAAATAATGCAATTGTATAATAGCCAAAAGATAAGCATAGGTGTTTCTGGGGTTTTTTCTCTTTTTTTTTTTTAGTGTTTATTTATTTCTGAGAGAGAGAGAAAGACAGAGCATGAGCGGGGGAAGGGCAGAGAGAGAGGGAGACACAGAATTCGAAGCAAGCTCCAGGCTCTGAGCTGTCAGCACAGAGCCTGACGCAGGGCTCGAATCCACGGACTGTGAGATCCTGACCTAAGCCAAAGTTGAAACTTAACCAACTGAGCCACCCAGGTGCCCCAAGCATAGGTGTTTCAAAGACAAGAAAACCCACCTGGTAAATGAGAATATGGAAAGAAGCTCAATTTTATTAATAATCAAGGAAATTAGCTAAGTCCATAATAAAATACCATTTTACATGAACGGGTTTGGCAGAAAATTTAAGTCTGCTACTGCTAAGTGGTTGTTAGAATGTAAACCAATGTGAACTCGTACATACTGCTTATAGGATTATAAGTTGATGTGATCACTCCGAACACCATTTTATTTGATGAAAAGCAATATTATCTAGGACAGCAAAATATCTGCATACAATATGACTCTATTTTCATAAGGTTCAAAAATAAGCAAAAGTAAATACTCTGTGGATATACACATATGTATATGAAGCTGCTCTTAAAAACAAGGAAATAATAAACACGAAATTCAGGATAGTGGGAGGCCGGCCAACAGAGCAGGGAAGGAGGCATGGAGGCAGATGCAACCATGTGATCACGTTCTAATTCTTAGATAAGCTAATGTGTTCAAAGATGTTCATTTTGTAAATTTGCTTCATCACATGCATTTTACATTTATTTTTTATGCATGAAATTTTAAAACAAAACAAAAACCGCCCTCAAAGAGAACCGCCACCCCTTTCTTAAGGAACGGATAAGCCTTGTTACAGAGGGTGGAAGACTTAAGTTCTTGAAGCAAAAATTTCCAGCCAAATTTGACCTGGGCTGCTAGATTGGGCTTGAAGCCTGGGCTGGCAAGACACAAAGGTGAATCAAGCCAAGGGTGGAGGGTCAGTCTGTACCCTGGGAAGTAGCAAAGGCTCCTGCCTGGTACCTGCCTGGTGTCACACAGCCCACTAATGGAAACTCAGGGTTCAGGGACCCACTGGCGGTGTGTGAGGAGCCGGGAAGGAAGACGTGAGGACTGATGTGTAGCACCAGGGCTGTCCAGCCAGGCAAGGCTTGGGGCTGCAGCCAGCTCTGGAATGCATTCCAAGACTGATCACAATCTGATTCCTGTTGGAGCAAAGGAACAGGGCCCAGACAGAGCCACCACACAGGTTGAGCTGAGCCTCAGGCAGGAACCAACTAGAATGTCCGTCATCTTTGGAGATCAGGGTTCCTGGAAAATACGGGAGCCAGGAACTAGACCTGGAGAAAAAATGGATGAGAGGAAGAAAACCTCACTTTAGGATGGTCGTGAACGTTGTATCCCCTGCACCAGGCAAGAGTACTCCCTGGCCCCTGTGACTCTCTTCCCATCCCACCCTATGAGCCTAAGGCTGACGGCACCATCTCATCTTACGAAGCTGTTTGAGGGCCCTGGACACATGGGCGCTTCCCCAGTTACTGGTCAATGCCTCTAATGCCATCAGTTTCTTAGTTAAAGTTTTCTCCCTCCTTCTATGTTCTTACAGTACCAATGCTGCTTGTAACTGTCCTGTCTCCATCACATGTGGTGATATGGTGATATAATTAAAAATACATATTTCATCTTAGTCCCAGCTCCTGGCAAGATCCTAAAAGCCTTCTAATTTCCTGAGTGAGGGGGTGATACAATTATAATATTGTTATAATATTTGGTCTTGATCCTTTTGTTATATTTGGTCTTGGTCCTTGGTTCCTGACACCAGAACTTCTAAGATCCGTGGATTCTCCAGAATGATAATGGCGCCTTTTTGTATGCTAATGAGGTGACCGTGGCTGGGTCCCTACAGAGCTTCAGGATGGGGGCTGGTTACATACAGAAAGACCCAGGCATGATCAGAGGGTTAGGACTTTCAGTCCCACCCCACACCGCTAGGGAGTGGAGAGGGGTCTGAGACTGAGCTAACTGCCAATACCCAGTGATTTAATCAGTCGTGCTGTGTAATGGAATTTCCATGAGAGCCCTCAACAGTTAAAGCGAGAGAACTTTCAGATTGGAGAACGTATCAGGCGTGGAAACTCTATCGTACCTTGCCCTATGCATCTCCTCCATTTGGCTTTCCTGAGTTATATATAATAAATTGGTACATGCAAGGAAAGTGATTTTCTATGAAGCATGAATTCTGTGATGCATTCTAGCAAATTATCAAGCCAGAGGGCAAGACTGGTCATGGAAACCTCCAATTTATAGCCTTTTGGTCAGAAGTACAGGAAGCCTGAGACTTGCAATTGGCGTCTGAAGTAGGGTCATTTTTGTGAGGCTGAGTCCTTGAGCTTGTGAGATCTCTTGCTAACTCCAGGTAGATTGTGTCACAATCAAATTAAATTGTAGGACACTCAGCTGGTATCAGAGAATTGGTTAGCAGGGGGAAAAAAACCCCACCTACTGGTGTCAGAAGTGTTCTGTGGGTAGAAACAGATCCTAGTATACGTTCTACTTCATTTTGTGATTATATATATGTCCACAGATTGTACTCCCTTTGCTGGGCTATCAGCATTTAAAATTTTTATTTATTTATTTATTTAAAAGTTTAGCCCTTCCTTTTTTTAATTTTTTAAAACATTTATTCATTTTTGAGAGACAGACAGAGCGTGAGTGGGGGAGGGGCAGAGAGAGAGGGAGACACAGAATCTGAAGAAGGCTTCAGGCTCTGAGCTATCAGCACAGAGCCTAATGCGGGGCTTGAACCCATGAACCGTGACCTGAGCCAAAGTCGGATGCTTAACCAACTGAGCCACCCAGGCTATCAGCATTTTAAGGTTGTGCTGTATCTAGCTTCTTCATATTCCCTGTCAGCTTACTTAGAAACTTATGCATAAATATATCAATAAATGTTGACAAGTTTTAACTAAGCATTTTAAATCTGGGGAAGAAGAAAGATACTTTAAACAAGTATTTTCAAAAAAAATAATAAAATAAACTTATTTTCAGCCTCTAACCTTTAGTATAAATTCATTTTCAGGGTTTTTTAAAGATAGATTTTGATAATTTGAGAGAAAGTTAAGGGGAAAAGATTTAATGAAGAGGTTTCCTGGGCAGCCTTGGCAGCCTGGCTGGCTAGTCAGTTAAGCGTCTGACTCAATTTTGGCTCAGGTCATGATCCCATGGTCATGTGAGCCTAAAGCCTGCTTGAGGTTCTCTCTCTCCATCTCCCTCTACCCCTCCCCAGCTTGCACTCACTCTCACTCTCTCGAAAAAAAAAAAAAAGTAAAAAAAAATTTTTCTTGAAGCAAAAGGGGAAAACACTATGTGTCCATTCAGAGCAATGATTATTTTTTATTATGATTCATTCATACCCTAAGAGACTGTGGAGACCTTAAAAATAACTAGATCTCTATAGACTGACATGGAAAGCTATCAGACATATTAAGTTAAAAAAAAAAACTTGCAAAACATTTACAACATGACTCTATTTTTATTCAAAAATAAAACAAAACAAAAATGATATGCTTCTATTTAAAGCAATAAAACTATTCTGTGTGATACTGCAATGGTGGATACAGGTTATTATAAGTTTGTCCAAACCTGTAAAATGTGCACACAAAGAATGAATCCTGCTGTAAATTATGGACTTTGGGTGATAACGATGGGTCAACGTGGGTTCTTCAGTGGTAACAAATGTACCACCCTGCTGGGATATGTTGATATTCCTGTGTGGGGACAGGAAATATATGGGAAATCTCTTACCTTCTGCCCAATTTTGCTGTGAACCTAAAGCTGCTTTAAAAAGTAACATCTAGGGGCACCTGGGTGGCTCAGTCGGTTAAGCATCCAACTTCGGCTCAGGTCATGATCTCAAGGCTTGTGAGTTCGAGCCCCACGTCGGTCTCTGTGCTGACAGCTCAGAGCCTGGAGCCTCTTCAGATTCTGTGTCTTTCTCTCTCTCTGCCCCTCCCCCGCTCACACTCTGTCTCTCTCTGTCTCTCAAAAATAAACATTAAAAAATAATAAAAAAATAAAATAAAAAGTAACATCTAATAAAAAAATATTTAAAGAAAAAGCCGGAAAAATATAAAAAATTATATGCATCTGCACTGTGCAAAAGTTCTAAAAGATGCAAACAAAATTGTAAACAGTGATTACCTCTAAGGCCACATTTATCAAACTCTGACATGCACACAAATTATTAGGACATTGTTAAAAGTGTTTAAAGTTCCTACTGTGATTCAGTAGATCTGTTGTGACACCCAAGCTCCCAGGCAGTGATAAGGTGGCTTGCAAGAGGGGATTGTTACATTTTCGGGAATTTGGTGACTCAATTATTAAATACAATTATTAAATACACTCATTATTTAAAATTAAATTATATATAAGCTTATAATTAAATGATATTTAACACAGAGACAATAACTACTCAAAACTCATTTCCTAATTATTTTGTATTTTATTATTATCTGTGCTCTTGAGGTTATACAGACAGACTAGTGTATCTGCATGGTGGATGTGCTATACCATCTACTCTGGGCTACTCTGCCCAATTTTGCATCCAGTGACATCACATTGTGATTCGGTGACATCACATTGTAATTCAGTGACATCACATTGGCAGCATGAAAATGTAGCCATATGTAGCCACGGTGAGAATATTTACACCATGTTAATCAGCTACAGATCAGGGCTTTATTTCCAGAGAGTCACATGTAAAACATTTACTAGCATACCATAACATTTACCAGCATCTCCCAGGCAGACAGCACCAGTCTAGGGCTTGGAATTGACGTGGGGAGAAGTTTCAAGAGCAACAGAGGGGAACCTGCAGAAGAGGGAGACCGTGAACATTGGATACAAATTTTGGCACACTCAGGTTTCCTGCATTCCTAGCCTGCTAGTGGCATGGACTGCTTAGTAAGGGTTTGCCAGACAAAGGAACGAATGAATGCCATGAAGAAAAGTTTACGCTGGAAAACACAGGATGACCCCCTTCACTTCTCACAGGGCTGGGGATGAATGAGTTGGGTGTGTGCTCCTGGGGGCCCCTGGCAGGAGAGGCCCAGCACTGGCCCTCTTGCTCCCCTCCCACCTCAACGTTTCCTGTATGATTTTAGTTCCCGTATCTGGGAGCCAGTATTTACTTAACTCTGCCTCCAGAGTTCAGCAATAACTATTCTGCAAGGAAAGGCCAAGGCTGCCCAAAGTTCTGGCCGAGTAAACACACAGCCAGGCCTGGATGCAGACAGCAGGCGCCGCAGCAGACTCCGGCAGCTGGTCTGGAAAAGGCTGGGCCCACACCCCGATCCCTTCTGCCAGCCCACCCACCACCACCCCTGCCCCTGCCCCTCCCCTGCCACCAGAACCCTCTCTCTTATCCCAGCTATCGTTCCTGCCCCTGCCTCTCACTCTGCTGACCACCCTGGACATAGTTCCTGACTAATGGAAACATCTATCCCTCCAGCTCCTGCCTGATGGCTCCCTGGTCACCAAACTCTCCAGAACGGAGGTCGGAGCAGTGGCCTGGCTGGCTTGCTGGGCCATTTGAGTGGACCGAGGCCAAGCACCCCCACCCTGTCAGCCTCCAAGGCCCAGATCGATTTGCATTCTCTGGACCCTGGAGGAGGCAGTTCTACTTCTGTGCTGTTAGAGCAGTTCATCCTGCACTCTCTGCTCCCCATCCAGCAAACATGCTGAGCCCCAACTGTGCCCTGGCATCATTGCAGGCGATGGAGATCCGGAGTGCCAGACGATCCACTCAAAGAGCTTATACTCAGTGGCGAGAGGAAGTCAATGAAAATTGCCATGGGCTAAACCATCTGTGTGCTTCTGACACTCACATGTCGAAACCCTAAGCCCCACTGTGATGTCCATTTGGCAGGGGGCCTTTGAAAGGTAGTTAGGCTTCGGGTAGGCCATAGGGTGGGGCCCCCAAGATGAGATAGTGGCCTTAGAAGAGGAGGAGACAGGAGATCTCTACGTTTGTGTGAATACCAAGGAAGCCCATGTGAGGATAGAAGGCAAACCAGGAAGACAGTCCTCCCCCAGATCTCACTCTGCCGGCACCTGAAACAAATGTAAGCTGGTAATAAATGCCAGGAAGCAAGTGCAGTAGGGTAAGGCAGGCAGCAAGTGATAGGGAGAGTGATATTTATGGAGGGTAGTGAGGAGGTCCTCTCCGAGAAGGTGATGTGAGAGCAGAGGGCTGGATGACAGAAAAGCCATGGGCTATCCAGGGGGAAATATTCAAGGCAAAGAGAGCTGCACACAAATTCCCTGAGGTGGAAACATGCCAGTGGTGCTCATGGCGGCCCCATGTGAAGTGAACGAGGGGCAAGACTCGGGGGCCCCATTACCTGGGGTTTTGTGGGCCAATTAAAGGAATGTGAGGATTACTCTGGAATCATTGGAAACTTCTGAGCAGAGAAGTGACACAAACTGATTTATGTTCTAAGAAGGTCCTTCTGGGTGCTCTGTTGAGAACAGACTATGGGTAAGAGGGTGAGAGGGTAAAAAAGTGTAGAAACCTGCTAGGGAGCTCACGGTGGTAGCTTAGACCAGGACAGTAGGAGTGCAAGTGTGGATTCTGGTTATTTTATCTTTTTTTTCTTTCTTTCTTTCTTTCTTTCTTTTAAGAGAGTGAGAGCAAGCAGGGAAGGGGCAGAGAGAGAGAGAGAACAGAAGATCTTCAGGCTCTGTGCTGACAGCAGAGAGCCCGATGTGGGGCTCAAACTCACGAACCATGAGGTCATGACCTGAGCCGAAGTGAGATGCTTAACTGACTGAGCCACTCAGGCTCCCAGTGATTCTGGTTATATTTTGAAAATAGGTCTGACAAGATGTGCTGATGAATTCCTTGCAGGGTATGAGAGAAAGAGAAGGGTTGAGGGTCACCCTGACGTTCATGACCTAAGTGGCTCAAGTCGGCATTATATCATGCCCTGAAGGCAGGAACTGTATGTTATTCTTCCTTGCTGGATCCTCGGGGATATAGAGTGGGTATGATGCATGGCCCATGATAAGGGAGAGAGGAAGGGAGCCAGGAAGAGAGGGAGACATGAGGGAACGGGTAGGTGGAGGAAGAATATTTATGCCATTGATATCCCTAAAGTCTTGCCTGGTGATCAACTCTTCCCAGGATGACCTAAAGATGTCTGGAAGTTTATTTATTTATTTTGAGAGAGTGGAGGAGGGTCAGAGAGAGAAGGAGAGAGAATTTCAAGCAGGCTCCAGGCTGTCAGCTCAAAGCCTGACACAGGGCTTGAACTCACAAACCATGAGATCGTGACCTGAGCCAAGATCAAGAGTTGAACTTGAACCTACTGAGCCAGCCAGGCACCCTTCCAGGGAATTCTTATATCCACCTGCCCTTCCCAGCCCAAAACCCATCCTTAAACAAAAGCAATGCACTGGCAACTAACCTGTTAAGAACTGGTTTACCATTTTGACTTCACCATCAGGTTCACCTTCACACGGTTAGGCTATGGATCTAACTGCTGTAACAGGCAATCCAAATAACTGTGATATAAACAAGATAGAGAGCATTTCTCCCTCGTGCACTGCTCTGTACATAGTAGTCCAGGCTGCTACAACTCCTCATGGTGGAGACCCGGCACCGTCTATGTTTGCTCTGCCATCCCCGGGGTGGGGGTGGGGGACAGGCCATATCTCATGGCCTCAGACAGTTGGTCACCACATCCGGGCTCTGGACAGCCAGGAAGAGGAAGGAAAGAGCTGGGTGGGGGAGGGCTGTAGAAGCTAGAGTCCTGCCCTTTAAGGACATGCCCAGAAGCTGCACCCACCACTTCTGTGCACATCCATTGGCCAGAACTTGGCTGTGGGGCCAAAGGGATCTGGGAAAGATCCCTTATTCTGGGAAGTCATGTTTCCAACCCAAATCAAATGACTATGGAAGAAGGGAAGGAGAATGTGGGGACAGGTCACAGTTCTGACGCGTGGGTATCCAAAGCAGTTCCATCTGACCTACATGTCGAGCCCCTGCTCCCTGCATGAGCCTCCTGGGATAGAGCCCAGCTCAATTCTTTTCATCTGATGTACAGAATTTTTCAACATTTGGAGTGTGGTCACCTGTAAAACTGTACTCAATCTTTACCACACCCTGTGAGGTGGGTTGTTTTATCTGACTTTACCCCAAAGAGAACCGGACTTAGAAGGGCAGAAATACTTGCACCAGGTCACGGGCTGATGAACACCCCAGATTTGAGCTCAGACCTTCTCTCCAGATTCCTGGTCCTCCCTCTTCACTAACAGGGCACTTAATGGATAATTACTGTGATGTGCAGGAGAGGTGAGCCCTACCACTAATACCCCCACCACTAGAATTTTCCAGGAAGGGCACCTGCTAAAGATTCATGTGACATGATAGAACACAGACAATGGTACCATTCTTATTGAAGAGGAAAAATCCACCCACCTCCGCACATCCGTGCATGTGACACAGAGGCAGAGGAGGCAGAACTGAGCAGGCAGGACATCCCCAGTGCAGACAGCCTCCTTGTCTACAGCAGCATCTGGGATTTTTGGCCAGTGGCTTGTGTTACACAGTTGTTGAATACTTTTCATGTCATTCCTCGTGAAATCTGTTCTTGGTCTGTCCCGAAGTGTTCTGTCATCTTGGAAAGCCTTCTCAGCTTCAAGTGACTCTTCTGTGAAAGAGAAAGAGCCTATCCAGCCACCCCCATTCAGTGAGGAGCCAGCTCTGAAGACATTGGTACAACCAGGAGAGGTGACAGCCAAGTTTCTCCCTGGGCTTCTCTGGGACACCACCTAAGCCCATGGGATCTTCTGCCCCAGCATGTTCCCTCCCATGCCCAAAGCCTGTCCACCCCCATTTCTACTCCTGAAACTTCAGCTCCTCACCCACCAGCCTGCAGATCCAGCCCACTCCTGCAAACTTGGAAGCACTGGCAGAAATCAAAGGCCTTAGAATATCAGAGCAGAAAGGCCTTCAGAGCCCATCTAATCCAAGGGCCACAGTGGCCCTGAGTGGCAGAACCTTGATGAGCACACATGATGTGTGGGACGCTGCCAAAGGCTCTCTGCACATTGCTTTACTTCACTCTGAAGCCACAGCCTGGCTTTGATGCCAGCTCAGTTACCTAGAGCTGTATGGCCTCTAATAAACTAGGCAACCCCTCTGTGCCTCCACGTTCTCATCAGCAAAATTGAGATGATAACGAGAGCTCTACCTAGTAGGGTCGTGATGATGACCTGAGTTACTACAGTTGATTCTTGGCATCCAGGGAAGTGATGTTCTATAAAGTTGCTGCACAGCGAATTAGCAAATATTAAACCGTTGTCCCTGGGGAAGTAGAGGATGGTTAGTTTCCTGCAAGCAGTCACGCTTTCATTTGACGTCTAGTGTTGATTCATTCACATGAACTCACAGCCTACAGTTCTACAACTCATGCCCAGATGAAGCTTATCTAACACATCTTTCTTCATAAGGTGCATTACAGACTTCTTGAACGTATAAGCACTGTTCTTTGTTTATTGAAGGATAACTGGTATACAATGCTATATCAGTTTCAGGGTGCTACATATAAATTTGACAATTCTATACGTTACTCAAGGCTCACCACGAGAAGCATAGTCACTATCTGTCATCATACTTACGACAATATTCTTGACGATATTCCCTATGCTGGACTTTTCACCTCTTCAACATTTATTTTATAACTGCAAGTTTGTACCTTTTAATCCTTTTATCTATTTCATCTGTCTCCCCATCCCCCTCCCCTTTGGCAGCCACCACTTTGTATTTGAGAGTCTCATTGGTTTGCTTGTTTGTTTGTTTGTTCATTTGTTTTGTTTAGATTCCACATATAAGTGAAATCACGTATTGTCTTTCCTGTCTGATTTATTTCACCTAGCATAACACCCTCTAGGCCCATCCATATTATCACATATGGCAAGATGTCATTTTTATGGCTGAGAAATATTCCATTGTGTGTGTGTGTGTATATATATACACATATATATACGTATATATATATATATATATGTATATATACGTATATATATATATATGTATATATACATATACATATATATATATATCACCTCTTCTTTATCTGTTCATTTGTCGATGGACGTTTGGGTTGCTTCCATATCTTGGCTATTTTAAGCAATGCTACAATAAACATAAGGATGTGTATATCCTTTGGAATTAGTGTTTTCATTCTCTTTGGGTAAATACCCAGTAGTGGAATCACTGGATCATGTGGTATTTCTATTTTTAATTTTTTGAGGAACCTCCTTTCTGTTTTCCACAGTAACTACAAAAATTTACATTTCCACCAACAGTGCACGAGGTTTCCCTTTTCTCCATATCCTTACTAACACTTATTTCTTGTCTTTTTTATTCTAGCCATTCTGACAGGGGTGAGGTGACATCTCATTGTGGTTTTGATTTGCATCACCCTGATGATGAGTGATGTTGAGCATCTTTTCACATGTCTGTTGGCCATCTGGTTGTCATCTTTGGAAAAATGTCTACTTAGGTGCTCTGTCCATTTTTAAATCAAATTGTTTGGGTTTTTTTTTTTTTTATGTTGAGTTGTAGAAGTTCTTTTATGTGTGTGTGGATTTTAACCCCCTTATTGGCTATATCATTTGCAAATATCTTCTCCCATTCAGCAGGTTGCCTTTTTATTTTGTTGATGGTTTCCTTTGCTGTGCGGAAGCTTTTTATTTCAGTGTAGTCCCAGTAGTTTATGTTTGCTTTTGTTTCCTTTGCCTGAGGAGACATATCTAGGAAAATGCTGCTATGGCTGATGTCAAAGAGATTACTACCTGTGTTTTCTTTTAAGTTTTATGGTTTCAGGTCTGACATTTAGGTCTTTAATTCCTTTTGAGTTTGTTTTTGTGTATGATGTAAGACAGTGGTCTTTTGCATGTAGCTGTCCAGTTTTCCCAACACTGGGGGGCATGTTAAATGGTGAAATCACCAACAAAAAGCACCAAAACAAGAAAAACATGGCACCAAATCGGCCATGAAAAGGGCAGTCTCTGCTGAAACAAGAAGGCAGAGCGTCGCCTTGTTTGACCTCAGCTGGCAACACACGTACCAGGCGACTCCAATGTTTCACTGGTCTGCACATGTTCTTGACTGACTGTGAAAACCCCCAGAGTACTGATTTGGGGGTTACAAATAAGTGTTAGTAAGGAGGTGAATTTGCAAACGTGGAATCCACAAATAGGATAAAGTAAATACCGAAAGCCTTTGAGAATAGCGCCTGGTGTGTAGGAAGCGTTTAACAAATAGTGTTATTGTGTACACTTTATAACGCCTGTGAGACCGCTATTGCTATTTCCATTTTATAGACGAGGAGAGCGAATGTCTGAGAGGTTGAAGGACTGAGCCCATGTCACATAGTTGGCCACTGATGCATCAGGACTTGAACCCAGGTATAGACCTGGCCTAACTCTTTTTTTATGCCGCCTAGAGCCCGAGGCTTTTGCTCCTTCCATGTGGCCTCTGCACAGGCACACAGGCACTGGCTGAACATGATACACATGCAAGACAGCTCCCTCCACCCCCCCACCACCTCACACACACAAACAGAATCTCCTGTGTTTACATGAGAGCTTCCTTTCCCAAACCTCCTTAACTCTGAGACGCCTTAGGGAACAAAGAGGTTGCCAATCTTCCTGCCCAGGCCACTGCATTCCTCCCTTCTGGCGGCAGCCTTCCCATACCTTTTCTCCTTCTTCTGCCTCAGTATCTCCCACCCCATGCCAAGGCGGCCTGGCAAAAAGGCTTGGGAACAAGTGGCTGATTATGGATCTTCTCAGCTGGCCTTACCCAGCCAAGAACAGAAGTCCCAGGAGAAAGGAGAGGAAGACAGGATGGGAAGGAGGTAGAGACTCCCGGGCCCAATGACCCCCACAAGGCTTTCCACAGAGTAGGGAGCAGAGGGGAGGTCGGGCAGGCAGAGGGGCAAGTGTGAGGGGCATGACTGCCCAGCAGGACAGGCAATGACCGAAGCCCCAGAGCCCACATCCCAGTCGGTCTTCAGCAAACCAGCACCCATCTGGACCAGATACGTCACCCTGTCACCCTCCCGGGCCAGGATTCTCTGAGTGGGTTTTAGACCTCCTCTGAAATCTGGGAGGGTGTACGATTCTGCATTGCCATTTACCTGTTACCAGGGGTCAGTAAGCTATGGCCTGCAGGCCAAATCTAGCTGGTGGCCTGTCTGTGTACCACTCATGAGCTAAGAATGGTTTTCACATTCTTAAAGTGTTGAAGATAGTGGGAGAAGGTAGAGGACAGAACATCATATGTCACCCACAAAGCCTAAAATACTTTTTGTAGGAAAAGTTTGCCAGCCCTCAACCAGATTGACGTCGCCATGGAGGCCCTACACCCACCCATCGCTGGCAGGTGGCATTGCGTATGCTATTTAACCTCTAAAAAGCTGTTTCCCCAACCGTGAAGTGAAGGCTATTGCCCTATGCCCCAGGGCTGTGAGAATTAAATCAGGTATAATCCCACTTGGGACAGTGTAGTTAGCTGATGGTGGCCATGGCAGGGGTGATAAAGGCACAGTGTGTGGTGGGAAAATGAGGGAAAGGGTCCCATCCTGACCACGGGACCATTACAGAGATGTTCCAGAGAAGTCGGGAAAACTGAAGCAATGGGGGAGTGACTCAGATATCTGAGGTCAAACAGATATAAATAGGATGTCACAGAGACAGCTTTCCACAGACTCATGAGTGTCCTTGGAGCCTCCCTTCACTGCCCCAGTCTGTGTCTCCTCACCCCCTGCCCCTTGCGGCTTTGCCTGTCAACCTTCTCCAGACTTCTGTCTTGGGCCTCTTCTCTCATAGGACTTGGCTGTTTTCAGGAAGCTGGTTAACCTCCTCTGCCATATTTGTTGCCAACAGCCACAGGGATTTCATATCCTAGGAGCATTTTCAATTAACAAGTAACTCCTAGACCCCCAAATATCCACGGATCTTTATCTCTAATTATGTAATGTCCGCACAGCGACAGGCTTTTGGAGCTATTCTGGAAATCATAGATGGCCACTTCCATGCAAAGCATCCTTTTATTTTCCCACATTCCTTCCAACACTGGGACCAAAATCTGGCCTGCCAGGGCCTTGCCTCTCAGATCAACTAAATGTCAAATTCAATGTCACACATTTAGCTCAGACAGACAAATGTAACTCGTCAGACAGACTAATGTAAGCACATGACTTGGCCACAGAGTTCTGTGTAGCTCTGGTCCAGCTGGCCCTCTGAGTCTGCGAGGCTTGGGGTTCACCTCTCACTAGACCTTGGTGCTTGAAGGAGGCAGCATCTCTCAGGGGTCCCAGGAGGGGGCCCAGACCACTGCCGTATTTTTAGATTGCCAGTACATATATTTTATAAAATGAGGAAGTACCCAAACAAGGTTATAAAACTTGAGATCTGTTTCAAATATTTACAATGCAAAATTTACACCCTCAGCCTGAAAGTATAATACAATCTTATGGTGTAAATCTACAAAATCATTTCAGGATTTATAACAAATATTGATCCTGAACTCTTACCCAAAATGGCCCAATGGTAAGATAGATGCGAGTTTAGAGTTGAACAGCATGTATCTTTTTTGTGTGCTGTCACTGTGTGTCTCTGTGTTATTGAGAGAGGAGGTCCGTGAAAATGAGACCCAAGCTGAGTGGCGAGGCCTGTCTGTTCTGATTCTCCAGGGAATGGCCAGGTACCTCTCCTAACCCTGGGCCGTGCTAAGTGTCTGCTCTGGCTCTAACCCCAGATCTGACTCTTACATCAAGCCTGCCTCAGAGTCCGCCAGCTTCTCCTCCTGGGAAAGTGCAATTTCTTTAATTCTGATGCAGAAGAACAGCCATCACCCTGCTCTGCCCTCCCTCCCCTGTCCCTGCTTCTAAGAAAGTCACCAGCTTCATCTCCTCCTAGAGCTCAAAAAATACCTCTTAAGTACAGTACTGGAAAGGGAGAGTAAGTTTACAATGGACAAATGCTACCCCTGCCACGTGGTCAACGTCAACACCAACAGTCACAGGTCATGTTGATAGTATATACCCTTGATATGTAATAAATCAACAGTCACAGGTCATGTTGATAGTATGTATTCTTGATATATAATGAAAACGGCACGTTACCTCTGTGATCTTCCTCCCCAAAAGCCCTAACCCCAACCTAATCATGAGAAAATATCAGACAAATTCTAACTGAGGAACATTCTAAATTTTTTTAATGTTTATTTATTTTTGAGATAGAGGGAGGGGCAGAGAGAGAGAGCGGCACAAAGAATCTGAAGCAGGTTCCAGTCTCTGAGCTGTCATCACAGAGCCTGATGTGGGGTTCGAACTCACGAACCGTGAGATCATGACCTGAGCCAAAGTTGAACATGTAACCAACTGAGGCACCCAGACGCCCCTATTTGAGGAACACTCTACAAAATTCCTGACCGTACTCCTCAAAATTGTCAAGGTCATCAAAAACAAGGAAAGTCTAAGAAATTGTCATAGCCAAAAGGAGCCTAAGGAGACATGACAACTGAATGTAATGTGGCATCCTGGAACAGAAAAGGAACATTAGGTAAAAAAATAAAGAAAGAAAGAAATCTAAATAAACTATGTACTTTACTTAATGATAATGTATCTATATTGGTTCATTAATAGTGATGTATGTGCCATACTAATGCAGGAGGTCTATAATAGGAGAAACTGGACACAGGTTAACAGGAATTCTCTGTACTATATCTGCACAACAGTTCTATAAATCTAAAAATATTCTAATATTTAATTTTTTTAATGTTCATTTATTTTTTTTTAACATTTATTTATTTTTGAGACAGAGAGAGACAGAGCATGAATGGGGGAGGGTCAGAGAGA